GTCGGACGCTCAACCGACTGAGCCACCCAGGCGCCCCAAGAAGGCAGCCATCTATTAGCCCAAAAGAGGCTCTCCCCCAAACCCAAATGTGTGGGTACCTTGATCTTAGACTTCTTGGCCTCCAGAACCATGAGAAATTTATTTCTGTTGTGTCAGCCACCAGTCCGTGGCACTTTGTTATAGCAGCCTGAGCAGGCTGAGACAGAGGTCCTCGTCTAAAGTGACCTCATCCATCTGTTGGCTTCATTTATCTTGGCGTGCATTTTCTTATTTGTTTTGGGTACCTGAATAAGAATTTTCTCTCTTCACTGGACTGGAGTTCCAGGAGGGCAGGGAGATGGTCTGCTTTGCTAGACACCAAGAACAGGGCCCTGGGCACACGGTGAGCCCCCAATAAATATTTGTTGCATGGAAAAGCCCCCAGTGTCTACCCTCGCGCCTGGTCACCTGGGTGCTCGGAGCCTTTCTCTGCATTGAGGACGGACTACACAAGGCTACTTCCACTCCCAGGCTGGGTTGTCTCTAGATCTGGAGAGGGGGGCTCTCATCAGGCCATTCGGCAAAGCTTAGTACTCCCCGGTACCCCCAGGATGCCTCATGAGTGGACCAAAGGGGAACAGACTCTTTCTTACCTGGGGTATGAAGATTCCAAAAACATCGGTTGTCAGTCGGAATTTGGATTCCTTTGGTATCTGTAGCAAGAAAAGAAGAGAAAAAGATCTTGTGGGATTATGTTACAGATTGGGGGGGGGGCCCGTAGGAGGGGTGAGAGACTGAATCCACAAACGCACAACGGCCAGTCTACACGTGACAATAGAATGGGGACCCCCAACTTCTGCAGCAATCAGCCTGGAACAGCCTGGACTGCCAGCTTCCCCCCTTTTTTTTCCCCTGAAAAACTCGGATAGGCTCTCCAAACCAATCACATGGGATGCCCAGCTTCTCTCAGCTCACCTCCAGCTTCCCCATGCCAAAACTCTCTTAGGAGCACACTTGTAAAGGTATAAAGCCATCAAGTTCCCCCTCCTCTGCGTGTGTTTGAGTCTCTGCTAAATGCGGGTGTTGGTGGCTGACTCTCTCACCCGGAAGAGTTCGCATTCGGGAGGTGTTTATCTTCCCAGGGGACACATGGTTGGTGACCTGGTTGCACCTGGACTCTGGACAGGATGGTTATTTCCTCATTTTACAGATGAGTGAACTGAGGCCCAGAGCAGGACTCGGCTTTGAATATATCGGTAGAGACACTGAGGTTGATGATAATGGTGGTTTGAGGCTAAGACTGGATCAGGGCAAGGGCGAGGGCAAGGGCGGTGTTGGCTGTAACTTTTATCCTCGTCCAGGACTTCCTACGTGCTAAGCCCGTGCTGAGTGCTTTGAGAGGTTGACCTACTGCTCTGAGGTCACCCAGCTAGAAAAGAGGGGGCTGACATTCCAACTCAGGTCTGGCTGCCCCTAGAGGCTGGACTGTGATCTCCCCCGTGTAAACACAAGTTCAAGTCCAGACGGGCCTGCTGTGCTCCGAGCCCCGTGCTCTTCCCGCATCCACCCCCAGCCTGGCCTTACCACGTTGTCCGTGACGGTCAGGTTCAGGACCCCGGCCTGTTGGTACACGAATCCCGCTGTGTTGAAGAAGTAGTTGGAGATGCCCAGGTACACCATGCGGTCGTGGTCGCTGGGAAAGGCCAGTGGCGGAGGGGCAAAGGGAGGGGGACTGGGGTGGGCCCACCTGAAAAACTCCCCCTGGGGGCGGAGGCGACAGGGTGAGCCCGGGCTTCCTTCAGGAATTATAATTCAACGTCTTCATTCCAGGAGAAAATGGGCTGGGGGTACCAATCACGCACTCACAGAGGAGGAAGCCATGGCAGAAACTAACAAGAATGTCCTACGCCTCCTCGGTGCTAGTTTCTAGGGGCTCTTCCTGCCAGTCCTGCGAGGGGGATGTGATTATGCCCATTTTGCAGGAAAGCATACTGAGGCCCCGGGAGCCGAAGAGGCTTGCCTGAGGCCGCTCGTGCGACACTCCCAACCTCCCGGCCACTCCGTCGGCCCAGCTTCAACCTTGCCAACAAGCACGGAAATTCTACCAGAAGAACAGCGAGGTTCTGTTTGTTGGCTTTCATCTGTCAAATTAGCAAAATGTTAAAGGGAGAGGTAAACTGTTTTAAGTGTATGCATATTTCAAGCTCACACCATCCAGGTTTGGGGGAGAGTGTTCAGATGCTGTGGGGGAATATATGTTTATAAGTTTCTGAAGAGCGACTTGGCCACACGTTGCCAAAGCAGATCATTTATTTAGCTAAAAAAACCCAATGCTGAGTTATAAAAGAGTGAGTTGTAGATGGATACATATGGTAGAAAACCATTTATGTAAAATTTAAAGGCATATAAAACGTACTATTTAAGAATTATCGACACATAGGTAAGCAGTAAAAGTGTAAACACCACAGGTAAGAAGGATACACACGGGCGTCTTATCCGTGTGGGTTCCCTGCGGCGTACGGGTGCCCAAGGAAGCCTCAGTGTTTATTTTTCGAATGTTTCAAAGAAAAAATCAGAGGCAAATACAGCAAAATGGTAACATTTCTTTTTTTTCCTTTTTTCTTTCTCTCTCTCTCTCTTTTTTAATGTGTATTCATTTTTGAGAGAGACAGAGTGTGAACAGAGGACGTGCAGAGGGAGAGGGAGACACGGAATCCGAAGCAGGCTCCAGGCTCCGAGCTGTCAGCACAGAGGCCGACGTGGGGCCTGAACTCATGAACTGTGAGATCATGACCTGAGCCGAAGTCGGACGCTCAACCGACTGAGCCACCCAGGCGCCCCTTAATGGTAACATTTCTTAAAGCTCGGTGGTAGGTACGTCAGTGTGTAATCTTCTCTGTATCTTTGAATCATTTCGTCATAAAAAATTAACCACCCTTTCACCTATCTTACAGAATACCATGCAACTCTTTAAAATAATAAATAAGTGAGGGGCGCCTGGGTAGCTCAGTCGGTTAAGCATCCGACTCTTGATTTCGGCTCAGGTCATGATCTCATGGTTTGTGAGTTTGAGCCCCACATCAGGCTTTGCACTGAGCCTGCTTGGGATTCTTTCTCTCTCTCTCTCTCTCTCTCTCTGCCCATCCCCTGCTCACATGCATGTGCTCACTTTCTCTCTCTCTCTCTCAAAATAAATAAATAAAAAAGTGGACCCATGTGCCAACTCTAATGCAGATTTTTAAGCGAGAAGAGCAAGTGAAAAGATGATATGTATCCATTCATGCAAACAGATTACCAGCAAAACCGGATGGGCTTGCATTTATGTGAATGTTTAGAACCAGGGAGCCCGGAGATTCACATATAACACACCCTGAGCCTCACAGCCATGACCTCTGGGCAGGAGCCGGGGGGGAGGGGCGGTCAATAAACAGGTTATTCTCAACCTTTATTCCATTGTACCACTTAGATTGTTTTTTTAAAGTATACTATTTGGTCCAGCAATGCCACTTCTAGGAGATAGCCAAGGATGGGCGGAGACCCAGATACAAGGATGTTCACGGCAGTTCTGGTTAGCGTATACAGTGAGCTCTTGGTTTCGGGGGCAGATTCCCATGATTCATCACTTACATACAACACCCAGTGCTCATCCCAACAAGTGCCCTTGTCCTCAATGCCCATCACCCGTTTTCCCCTCTCTCCCTGCCTCCCCCCATCAACCCTCAGTTTATTGTCTGTATTTAAGAGTCTCTTATTTATGGTTTGCCTCCCTCCCTCTCTGTAACTCTTTTTTCCCCTTCCCTTCCCCCATGGTCTTCTGGTAAGTTTCTCAAGTTCCACATATGAGAGAAAACATATGGTATCTGTCTTTCTCTGACTGACTTATTTCACTCAGCATAATACCCTCCAGTTCCATCCATGTTGTTGCAAATGGCAGGATTTCATTCTTTCTCATTGCCAAGGAGTATTCCATTGCATATATAAACCACATCTTCTTTATCCATTCATCAGTTGGTGGACATTTGGGCTCTTTCCATAATTTGGTTATTGTTAAGAGCACTGCTATAAATATCGGGGTACATGTGCCCCTTCGGATCAGCACTCCTGTGTCCTTTGGAAGAATTCCTAGGAGTGCTATTGCTGGGTTGTAGGGTAGTTCTATTTATAATTTTTTGAGAAACCTCCACACTGTTTTCTAGAGTGGCTACACCAGTTTGCATTCCCACCAACAGTGCAAGAGGGTTCCCATTTCTCCCCATCCTTGTCAACATCTGTTGTTTCCGGAGTTGTTAATTTTAGCCTCTGAGTTGTAATATTTGGGTAATCTCTCTCCCTCTCCTCCCTTCCTTCCTCCTTTCCTTCCTATTTATTTATTTCTCTGCTCTGCTTCTCTGTCGTTTCTAACTTTTCTTTTTTGTATCAAATGTATTTTAGAACAAACAAGTAGACAGTAAACAAGCCAATCACCAATCATGGAGGGACTGAATGAAGTACATCCAGAGGGAATTCAAGGGTGGGACCCACTCCAGCTGGGGTGGTCAGGGAAGGCTGCTTTGGGAGTGACATCCAAGCACAGACTCACCTGGAGTAGAAGAAGCCAGTGGGTAGAGGGGGGCATGCGAGGGAAGGCAGTTCAGGCAGAGGGGATGGGTAAGACAAAGGCTCTGAGGTGGGAACGAGCTTGGTGTGTTGAGAAAGTGCAAAGCCCATGTGCCTGGTTGGAGGGTGGTGAGTGGGGGGAAAGTAGCATGAAATGATACTCCATCTATCCACCATCCATCCATCCATCCATCCATCCATCCATCCATCCATTTGTCTGTCCAAGCAGAATATTTACTGAGCAGCTAATAGATACCAAGCATGGTTCTGGGTGTGCACCCACAGTCAGGAACAAAGCAGCTATAGTTCCTCCTCTTTCATCATAGTGAGGGAGATAGACATGTGACTCTGTGTGTGTGTGTGTGTGTGTGTGTGTGTGTGTGTGTTGGGGGGTTGTTAATAATATGTGATGTTGAGAAAAATAAACCAGGATATGGGGGGGGGGAGAAGGAGCTATTTCAGTGGGAGTGGGCTTTAGTGGGAGGGATATTTAAGTGAAGACTTAAAAAGAAGGGAGAGTTTATGTGAATATCTGGGTGAGAGCATTCTGGGCAGAGAGGGAGCAGGTGCAAAGGCCCTAGGGAGCGAGCAGGGATAGAGTGGTTCAGGAATAGCGGGAGGCCAGCCAGTGTGACCAGAGCAGGGAGAAGATGCCGAGATTAGGATGCTGGGGAGCCCCAGGAGGGCCTGTGGCAAAGGCATGAGGGTATAAGTTCCCCAGTGTAAGTCTCACCTTCAGCTGCCCATCCAGGCTGTCAGTCGTGGCTGTTGGAGGTGCCACCAGTGAGTAATTGATCCCAGCGACATGATCTATTCGAGTTGTCACTAGACGGGAAGAAGATGAGCCATGAGCTGCCTCCCTTGGCAGCATCTTTAGGGCCTGAGATGCAGTGTTGGCATCTGCTAGAGTTGAACGGCAAAGAACTGCAGTGCAGGTTCCATTCCCACCTCCTCCACGGAGCCCTCCCTGGGCTCCCTTTAAGGGAAAATGAACCCCCACCCTACACAAACAGACATTATCTCTTCCCCTGCTTCCATAGCCCTGAGATGTAGCTAAAACACAGGGTCAAGAAGCAGAGAGACCTGGGCTTGAATTGAACTCTATCTGACCTTGGACAAGTTGCTTTCATTACTCTAAGCCACTTTTTGTCACGTGTAGAACGGGGCAGTACTGGTGACCCCACAGATGCCCTGGACATGGGAGGGGCTCAAACGCCAAAGGGACCATTACTAGCAGTGATAATATCCCAGGCTGAGCCCAGGTTGGTTCAGGTCTGAACAGTGTGTGTGGTTCCCAGCAGTCATGAATGAGAATTAAATAAATGCCGGTCCCTCCTTAAGCCCTTCCTTCCCACATCAGAGGGGAAGACATGGGGCTCGGAGATGTCACTCCTCCAAGATGGCACAGCTGGAGAGTGATGGAGCTGGGACTCAAACCAAAGTCATTTTCCTGACTGCTGAGGCCAAACCGTGGTCAGTGTCATTGCACTGAACATGCCCAGGTAGGGCCCATCCCTGGAGGGTCTGGGGCTGTGCCTGGGGAAGGAATCATCTTGAATGGGCTCGCACCATGGGCTGCCATGACTGCTCCACCGGGAGGGAGCCTGGCTAGCAGGTTGGGGTACAGGCTCTGGAGTAAGAAAACCCCAATTAGGATCCTGCTTCTGCTTCTTTCTGGCTTTGCGACCTCGGGCAAGTCACAGTTCCTTTCTGAGCCTCAGTTTCCTCGCGGTAAAGTTGGGAGACTACACCGACCTCCGTGAGGCGTTGGGAGGCTGAGAGGAGACAGTTCCTCTGGGTGCGAGGACATGGGAAGCACTCAGCCAGTGGGAGCCTGCCCGCCAACCTGCAGCTCTTCAGTTACTGGGAGGTATGGAGAATTGTCCCCATTTTAAAGATGTGAAAACCGGGGCCCAGAGAGACGAAATGACCAGCGTCAGATCTCAGGGCAGCTATGAGGGCCCGACCACAGAGAGCTGGGACTGTTTGTTATTTGGCCTTGGCACCGGTGGGGGAATGAATGGGCGTGGGCGGTTCTCGCACCTGACACGAGGGCCTGGCCCATTTGGGGTCCGATGCGAGCTGCCGGTTGAAAATCGTCCGTTCTACCCGTTTCCACCCGGACCCAAGCCCGTCTGGGAAACCTGGTGGCTTCGTCACACTCTCCTTGTTCTCCTGTGCCCCTCCCCCTTCTCTCCCAGTCTCCTTGACCTCGCCCAGCGCTCACCTGGCAGCGTCTCTAAATACCGTTGCAGCTTGGAGGACACGGAACTGGTCACCACCTTGCAGATCTGGAGAGAACCAAAGAAGTGGCCAGTGAGGGCTTCCCGTGGCGGAAAATGTCTTTCGGGAATGAGGATCCGGGCACGTTTTGCTTTCTTCGAATGCTTCTTCGAAGGAAGGGGGGAGGGTAGGACGGAGGAAAGTGGCGGAGGGAGAAAATTGGTTGCCCTGAGTGTTTCTATCACACACGCAAGACTCTGCACGCGCCTAGAATATCGTCCTCTGAGGGGCCTGTACCTCTGCCGCGAGCGGTCTGGGGAAGGGGGTGGGGCTGCCTGCCCCTGGGCTGCTGCCCTCCAGTGCCACTCCCCGACGAGGGCCACCAGATGGCTCCAAACCACAGCAAATCGCATCACAGCCTAGAGCCCAGCTTCCAGCGGCTGCTTGTGTCGTCCCCTGCTCTCCGCCCCCCACACACTTTGCGTAGACTGGGGCTCTTCCTTCCCTCAGATGCCCACCCTTCACTCTGTATTCCCGGGAGTTAACTGCCCAGCTCACTCCTCGTCATTTCCAGCCCTTGCTACGATCATGGACACCCTGGTACCTCGTTTATCCATCCATCCATCCATCCGTCCATCCATCCATCCATCCGTCCATCCGTCCATCCATCCATCCATCCGTCTGTCCACTCAAGCCAGTACTGTCTTCTAAAGAGTATCTTGCTATGATCAAGAGCTTCACCTCAGAGGGGGGGGATAGCCTGGGTTTGAACC